AATCCCTCTGTCATAAACAGTTCCACCATTCCATTGTCCTTGATTCGCATAATCAGGGTAACAACACTTTTATCCCCCCTGCCTCAATAACAGAGAGACTGGGGATCCCACAGTGGCCAAAGTGACCATTTGGGCTGCTGTGAGCACATACTAGACAGGGTGGGTGTGTCTATGCAAATTGGGCTCAGCCCCTGAAGTCTCTTTGTACCACTTGCCACAGTTCACAACCAGATGTCAGGGTAGAGTTTACCTTGACCCCGCTTACACTTGCACTGAGTTTCATAATAAATGAAAGTGATTGTATTACATAGAATCATAGAATCATAGAATAATAGGACTGGAAGGGACCTCGAGAGGTCATCGAGTCCAGCCCCCCGCCCTCAAGGCAGGATCAAGCTCCGTCTACACCATCCCTGACAGATGTCTATCTAACCTAAAGAAGGGCACCGCCCAGCATGGGGCTTGAACCCATGAGCCTGAGATTAAGAGTCTCAGGCTCTACCAACTGAGCTAGCCAGGCTGTAGGGGAGAACCAACCAGCCGGCCGGAAGGGAAGTGAATCGGCGGCTGGGAGCGAGACTGACCTGGGCACTTGCAGATCCCAGGGCGCTTCCATCCCGCGCAGGGTCTAGGTGAAGCGCGAGTCAGTTCGGCTATGGCTCCACCACATGCTTGACCAGTGCACAGGAGCATGGACCGGGCTGCCCCTCCTCCTCACACGCAACCAGGGCTCCCAGTGCCGATTGTGCCCCGCCTTCCTGCCACTCTCCCCACCCCCGCCAGGCTTCCATCCGGGGCCCATCTGGAAAACCAGAAAATACCAGACATTGCACATGTCCGGTATTTTCTGGTAGAAAACCGGACACCTGGCAACCCTATGAATCAGAGTATCCCAATCAGAGCAGTCCCTGTCTACAGGGCATTCAGGCCCTCTGCAGACAGGAGCTGTTCGAGAGCAGCCCCTGTAAGCAATGGGTCCCCCTGTGGGGCTGGAGAAGGCAGCCCCTGGCCATGGGAAGCTGCTCCAGGCCCACCAGTTAACTAATTAAACTGTTACATCCCTACATGGAGGTTCAGATTTTCACCTATTACAAATCATGAAGAAGCAGGAAGGTATAGTGGAGGCTCTTAGAAATTTTTCAGTAAACAAATAACATTCTAAATAGATTAATTATTATTTCTGAGTGTTGAACTTTAATGGGAAGAATTCAACAGAATCATAAGCCAGCTCAAAAAAGTTAGGCCCCTTCTAGCACAGAGTATATACATACAGCATAAGGACATAAAACCCTTCTCTATGCAAACACTGACAAATCTGTATTCAGTTTTGAATTGCTTCTGAAAATTCAGAAAATAACTGTTCCCGTGCCCTCATACACTACTCTTTTCTGCGAAAAATGCCCAATCTTATTGCTGCTCAATTATTCAGAGAAAGTTGTGAAAACATTCAATCATCTCACTAGCATTTTCACTTCCTGTTGGCTGGGCATTTAAGGGTCAGCCACAGCAGGAACACGGAAACCTTCATGTTGAACAACAGGTAGAGCCAGCCCTCAGTTTTGTAGGCTACTGCAGGAAGTAACTTGTGCAGGATTTCAGGCAGAATGCTGTAACTCGCAGTGGAACGTGTACCTCATGACCAAGATTATCCGACATGGAAATAAAACTACAGAATCCTCATGGCCCAGCTGCCCTGTACTATCCCCGAGTTGTGTGCATTTACATTCACTTTTAGGCAACAGCTTTTTGTGGAGTTTTGAAACCACCTGATGCTTAGATACTAGCATGATGGATGCTGTACAAAAACCTTAAAGCAGATATTAATGTTTAGCATATATTAATGTTTAAAGGAGGGTAACAAAATCCTGGGCTACATCTCAGGAAAGAGGGAAGAATAATAAAGAATTTATTAAATTGTTACAAAGGACATGTCAATCCTATTGAAATTTATTCTTTGTTAGAAGCAAATATATCCTTTAGCACACAGAGAAATAAAATGTTGCCATGCTATGTAACTCACCAGGTTTCTTCCCTAAACTTCCTGTTTTTCCAGCAGTTCCAGGGACCTTAAAATAAATGCAAATATAACTTACACATATTGATAGGTTTATTTCTCCTGAGTACCAAAATTGCTGTGTTGTAGCATTTTCCAAATCAAAAATCTGAATAGTTAGTGACTGTCCTAAAATGGATCTATCCTTGTAGAAATTCTGAGGTGGATTGTGACCCCAAATACTATCTAACAGTGAGCAATGAATAATTAAAAACAAACAAGTTTTTATTTTTAGCAGGAAAGAGTTTTTAATTTGGATAATCTGGGAAGGCTTCAAGATGTGGAGATAGTTCACAAGTCCCATCAATCTAAAGGGAAGATGATAATACAGCTTGAGTCAGAGTTCACGGTGAATGTAATTTATTCTATTAAACTACATAGGGAATCCAAAATCCCTATTGCACTACATGAAAATCCCAAACTCTGACTATACATTAAAGTTATTAAAAGTCTGCCCAGAAAAAAAAGGACCTCTGAATGCTGGAAAAAAATAATAAAATAATACTGCAATATTATAGAAACCTTCGCCCCCGTTCTGCTTTCACTCGTGTTATGTCCAACACTAGGGTTGTAAGATCCAAGAACAGGATCATTTTCTTAAAACGCATTGTTATTTGTTCTTACAGTACCCTGAATAAATAATGGAGATTAGATTTATCCTTTAATCTACTGGACTGCTGTTAGCTCTTCCAGATACAGCAAAACAAGGATAGAAAACAAAATATTCATAAAAATACAAGTTTTCAGATCTACAGTTCTACATTTTGTAAATTAATTAATAAAGAATTTGCTGCACTGAGGAAAGTCTTGGAGGAGGATGCTTTCTGAGTTATTACAGTACTGTATTCTGCAGAAGTGCTCCCAAAGCAGCGCACTACCGAATATCATAAACCATAATGTTTTGGTGCTCTCTCACAGAAAAGATTAAAGTATTTTCTATTTTCATAGAAAAGATGAAAGCCTTTTAAGTATCTACATACTGTACTCGTGAAAAAAAGTATCACTCTTCAATCCTTCCCAAAAGAGAAGTTAAGCAATGACAATGCAAGCACTAATATTCCACGTATGTAGTCTACAGAAGCAGCTATATCTCATAAATACAGATGCCACAACTTGAAAAAAAATGTTCCCCTAGAATTAAGATTCTAAATCCTTATTCAGGCACCTAAATGCAATTCAAATAAAAGTTTAGAAGCCTAAATTTAGGCCCCAATTTTTTAAAGTCATGACTATAATATTCTTTTATAGTAAGTCGCATATTTCTCTTTTTTTTTTTTTTTTGAGCAAGAAGGAATTAAAATGCACACATATACACAATGACACATCTAGCACCCACTGATAGATGACAACTACATTTTCAAATAGATGAGACTATGTGTTCACTATTACAAGACCCTGTTTTGGAAGGAAAGTTTAATATTTAATGTTTGAATATTTTTCCCTTTTATACCATTTCACTGCCTAGTTTCTTTGATCATAGTATTGTCAGTTGGACAACAGCAATAATTACTCTGATCTGGCTATACATGACTATAATATAGGCCTTTAATATCTGTAAATGATAAGGTTCTTCATTGTACTTTATATAGGAATCTCTCTCAAACGTCACTTTTCATGTCCAACAGCTGTAAAATAAAAAACCCCTTCTTATAATTCACTGGATTTCAAATAATCAAATTAACTTTAAAAAGTAAGATACAAAAAAGTTACATTTTGTAACTTTTCATATCTCTTTACCTCAGAATCTTTCAGTCTCACATAATTAGAAGGAAAGACTCCAGATTTATCACCCAATGTTCCTGTCCACCAGTCACCATCTTTTTTTGTCACAAGAATCATATCTCCTTGTTGAAAGGTTAAGTCTCCTTGTTCCGAACTCTCATATGTGTACATGGCAATATATTCTGGAGGAGAAAAAATTCCAAAATCGGAAAATACTTATTGAATCAAAGTATAATTTGCAAAATCTATCTTTATGAAGGCAAAATAATCTGTCCAAGGTTTAGATATTTCATAGCTTTCTTCCCTATTGTTTCTGTGTAGACAACACTTAACTAAAAATATTTTCTTTTATTTCCACAAATGAAATTTAATATTTACATTTCTAAAATAGATGTGCTTCAAGACTACTTAAACTTTTTTACAGGATTCTGTTGTCAAAAAATTCTATTATGGGTGAAGTTATTTTTGGTAAACCACTAACATGACCAACGTATATAATATTTTTTTTAATAAAAAACAAACAAAAACAAAAAATAAATCAACCTCCCCAAAGCCTCCACCAAACTGTCACATTTCTGTTTGACAACTTGTTCTTCAAGATGTATTTCACACGTCCATTCCGTTTCAGATGTGTGCATGTGTGCCAGTACCATCAAAGCTGGAGCACGGTTTCCCAAAGTGATCCCAATCAGAGCAGAGTATGCATACTCTGAACATTCACGCTGTTAGCCAAAGGAATACAGGAGTGAAGCCACCTCCCATCCCCCTCTCCCCAATTACTTCATTCCATAAGCCAGTATTTGCGGTGACTCAGGAGAAAGAGGGTGGGTTGTGGAATGGACATGTGCCATACATCTTGAACAGCAGCTACTGAATAGATATGCAATCTTTTTTTCTTATTCAATTGCTTGAATATGTCAATTCCACTTTAAGTGCATCTCATGCAGTTCTAGATGGAGTTGGAGAATGAAGCAACATCATGCTCTCAAACCTAACATCATGTTTTGTGGCTTGGAAGGGAATGTAACATGTGATGAATGTATAAACAGATGACAAAGTTGCAGTCCTGCAAATTTTACTGATGGGAACAAGACCCAAGAAAGCAAGCAATGTTGCTTGTGCTCTCAGAGTATGCTAAAAAATCTCTGAGGTGATCAACAGAACAGATCAATACAGGAGGTTCAGGAAGAAAATACTCTGCAAAGTGACAAATTGCCCCAACATACAGTCAGTAAAGACAACAAATACTTAAGGAAACCACCTAAACAGGAAACAGCATAACACCTTATCAAAGTCCTATGGAGTTTTCCTTCATCTTAGAAGCTGGTGTTTCAGAAAAAGGTTGGTAAGCATATTTAGATAAAAATTCAACACTTCTTTTGTGAGAAATTTGGGGTGTCGACACATGTTAACATACAAAGTAGCATCAGACAAAGCCTGACGTTCTGTTATCATCCAGGTGGAAGTAATAGCCTCTAAAAATACTACCCTCATTGAGAGATGAAGTCCCATTAAGATGGAAAGCACCAAATTCAGATCTCAAGATGGTGTTGGTTCCTAATAGGAGGAAAGAACCTCTTCAAGCCTTTCAAGAACCTACCAGTCAGAGGGCTGGAACAGGACTGATCTTTTATCTACTGAAGGACAGAATATGGTAACAGATGAACCCTCAGAGAAGTGGTAGAAAGTCCTTTTTCCTTTAAGTAAAGCACATAGCACAGAGAAGACTGAATGGGAGCTGGTGAAAGAGAGGTATCTTTCTATTGTGACCGTAAGTAGAATCTCTTTCATTTCTTGAGTTGAGTATAAATGGGAGGATTTTCTGATATTTAAATATTTCTACACCTAAGCAGTAAGGTGTAGCTCAAAAGGGCTAGGATACAGAGGCTGGCCATGGTCCTGCAAAACTTAAGGGAGAGGTGTGGGATCTTAAATTGACAGGCTCATCAGACAAACGGACAAACTTTAGGGTATATCAAAAAACCCGTGACTGACATTTTTATTCCCAAATGTAGTGCTTTTAAATTAAACACCTCCTGCATATCCAGTCTTCACAATCTGGCATGCAATGAAAAACATGCTGGTTTCTTTAGAAAGTCCTTTTAGAAGAGGTTTTTCTTCCCAAATGTAGCTTGCTTCATTTGGGTCCAGGGATGTGGCTGGAATGGGTGAGAAGGAGACAACAAGGAGGAGGTGGGACGGTGGGGAGGAGGTGGGGCCTGGGTGGAGCAGAGGTGGAGTATGGGCGAGGGCACAGGCTGGAGATCTTGCCTCTCTAAGTAGCAGCTTCACCCACCACCCAGGATGGCACGTAAGCCCAGGGACTTGAGCATGCTCCAATACCAAGCTAAAAAACTTAAATAAAATAAAAATCAAGTGCTACTAACTAAAACTACAACTATACTAAAGTATTTACAATAAAAAAAAACACAGGTTTTTTTTTTTTTTTTTTCCTCCAAAAAGCAGAACAGGAGAGAGTGAAGCTCCCACCTGCTACAACTACTGATCACGAATAGTAAAAAGGAAATGGTGAGGTGCCAGGGCAGCTCCATCCTTTTATAACATTGGCCGATATGTGCTGTCCTGATGAATACTGTTTGGGGATGAATTCTCCAACTTCAGTGACCTAGTGCATACTCCCAAAGCAGAATGGACAAACGCAAGCACTTGATTTGCTTTACAAGCATTTTCTATGGGTTCAATTTTATGCTGAGAACTAGCAACATCAGTCCTAGCATACAAAATTCCAGTTTCTGAACTTCTAATGCAGTCTTCATTTTAAATGTGTCAGTTGTCTCTCGTGAACAATGAATTCTTTCATTGCTTGAAGCTTTGTATGGAGACAGCCCATCTCATTTTATCCTACACAACAGTTGGCTTGAAAATGCTAAGATAACACTAGAATACACAATTTTGTTAAAACATGGTCAGCTACTTAGTATTCAAGAGCAAAAAACACTGAAAAACTGATGTTGAGAAATGCAATGTATAATTTAATTACAGTGCTAAATGAAAACCTTTACAGCTAGGAGGACAAATATTAATCTCAGACAAATCAGTAACATTTTCTGAAGTAGCATGCACATTACACAGCTCACTAAACTGTAAAAATGGGGTCTGCTCAGAGATATGCCAAAGATTTCTGAAGATATTCTGGGTCAGTGGTTTTCAATCTTTTTTTTCCCTCATGACCCAGTGGAAAAAAAATTGTTGGTGCCAGCAACTCAAAAGAATTTGACTAGTATGGGCTACAGAGTGGGACTGAGGATGAGAGCTTTAGAGTATAAGGGGGAGGGGTCTGGCTTTGGGGATGTCAGGGATGTGGCAGGAGGGGCTTACTTTGTGTAGCTCCCAATCAGTGGTGCAGCAGGGGCTCTAAGGCAGATTTCCTGCCTCTCCTGGCATCACAGACCATGCTGTGCCCCGGCAGCAGGTTCACAGTCCATGGAAGCAGTGCACGGAGCCCTGTGCGCTCTCTTGCCCCCTTCCCTCACTTAGGAGCTGGGCCTCCTGCTGGCTGCTTCGAGGGCACAGTGCAGTCTGGAGTGCCAGAACAGGCAGGTAGTCTGGACCCCGACTAGTCACCCGTGCAGGAACGGGATCCAGTGCCTGACATTCCAAGAGCCAGTACTGGGTCACGACCTTGGAAAACCACTGTGCTAGGTCTCTGAAGCTGGAGAATTCTCCCCCATAATGGTACCTCCCAGGATGGCACATGTTAGCCAGAAGGTGAATGGGAGTGTATATTTTTATACACACAAGACTACATATTTAATAATTGAATGCAACCATGGGCGGTGGGTGAAGCTGCTGGCCACACCTATACTCCACTCCAGCTCTGCCCAGACCCCGCCCCCTCTTCACTGTTTCCTGCTCTGCACACTCTGCTCTTCCAGCCAGATCCCTGAATCTAAGGGTATGTCTACACTGCAAAGTTAATTCGAAATAACAGCTGTTAGTTCAAATTAACTTTAATAGTGTCTATACATGCAAACCGCTATTTCAAAATTAATTTGAAATAGCAGAGCGCTTAATTCGAATTTGGTAAACCTCATTCTACAAGGAGTAACGCCAAATTTGAAATAGCTATTTCGAATTAAGTGCTATGTAGACACTTAATGTGAAATAGGGAGGCCCTCCAGCCCTTCCCAGAGAGCCCTGATGGCCACAACCAGGAAAACTTACTCTCCACTCCCCCAACCCTGGAGCCATTAAAGGGGTAGACCCTAGCCACAGTGCCTGTGCCAGCTCCAAGCCTGCTAGCCCAGAGCCAGCAGTGGCCACCAGTGCCCCTGACCCAATGGCCCCAAAACATGAGCCAGCAAGCCACCGGCAGCCAGCCCTCCCCTGCTCCC